CTTTATTTCCAAATTTTGTAAAGGAGCAACAAGTTTTACTTTTTATATAACTTACTAACTCAACTTTTATAATAAAATTATGTATTCTAAGACTGTTGTTTATTTATCTTCTTTTGACATTTTCAACTATAGAAAAGACAGTATTTCCATGTGTTTTGATGATTGCACTGCCATTCATAACCTTATACATGGGAACAAGATATGATGACAAGTTGTCATAAACTTGACATTGTATCTTTTTCTACAAATAATATTTTAAATCTATAAATTAAATTAAAACTCAAAATAAGTCATGGTCATYCCTCTTCAATCTCATCCTCAAGGTCACTGTTATGACAATCAAAATGATTAAGTCTTAGCACTAAACACTTCTATCGCATTATTTCAAACATACTAAATTGCAACTTTGGTCTACTGTGACCATAAAAATTCCAGTGTTTCCTACATGTAACATCAACAAAATATAACAAATTATTTTCGGCCAAACAAAATCTGTACTAATGCTGTTAATTATCCACGCCCATTTAGTATAGTGCACACATAATGTAAACATGTAAATAGCTTGGTATTAAAAATCAAATTGGTCGAAAAAACAATTGCCTTATAAATTGTCAAAAGTAACCTACAAAACTTTTTTAAATCTAATATTACTGTAAATTTACTCCAATCATTGGAGTCAAAATTAGATCAATCAACTACAACAGGTAACAATAATCATTACTTCATATAACAATTTTGAAAACATTTTATAATAATGGACAAAAAGATGTACAGTTAAATTTTACTTTTTTTCTTTGCTTTGCTTTGCTTTTCTGGAGACTTGTTTTCATCATTGGTGATCTCTTTGGTTTTCCCCTTTTGCTCTTTCACCCAAATATTGTAATCAAATACTTGKGAATCCTCCATCGTTGGAAGCTGTGACTCATTATCAAGCGACTTTGCTATTTCAGTACTTTTATCTGGACTGTCTGATGGGTAGTCTYGAGTGTCATCATCAGATCCAATGGTATGCTTTGTRCTAGTAGATGTAGCATTCAAAGATTGTCTAAACTTTCTTCCAAGCTCTGCAKCTGACCTTGGATTTCCTGGATAGTCRAGGCGTTTTCTTTTGGCCCTTTTGTGTTTAGGCTGAGTAAATGATTGAGTGTTATGGTCATTACCTCTGCTACTACAGTAGTAGTTTGGAGAATGATAACTTGGTCTTGGTGAAGGTTCATNTAGGACTTTTGTATGGCTGTCTCCTTACTGAAGGCGATGGGTATCTGACATACATTCTTGGTGGTGGACTTGGAGCTACAAATCTGTTAGTTCCATGAGGTGGTTGAATGTTATGTAAAGGGCTTGCATTGTTTATGGTAAATGGTGACCTTGGTTTATGAATTGTAACAGGGAAATTACAATTCTCCATCTGGTTGTAATTAGGCAGGGTGGGATGGTAATTAAACATGCTGTCATCTGACCTGGAACTTTGATCAAACACAGCTCTTGATTTCATTTGATAACTCTCAATCATTTGTTCCAAATCTACAGAAGCTGGAGGTGGTCGATTACTGCACGCTGCTGCCAATATACGTAGATCGTTATCTAGCTTTGTTCTGTTAGAATACTTAACAGGGTTGCAGATAAATAGCTTCTGACGCATCTGTGAGAAAAAATTAGTCTTTGTGCGATCTCTGTGGAAAAGAATAATTTAGAAGCTTATATTTTTGTTGTAAATATATATATAAACAAGGAAATAACTACAATGTGACGCTGAAAAGTATGATCGACTGAAATGCAGACATAGAAGTATGTAAATACATAATAACTGGTTGTCACACTGTGATCATGAGGGAATTGCTGAGAAATAAAGTATGCACATGGTTGCCAACGATATTTCGTCACGATGTTCTTTGTGTAATGCCAAATTACCACACTCGAAATAGCCTCCACATGGTGGCTGCATGCAATTATTAGTATGGTGGCCCTTTAAATGACAATTACTGCAGGTGAAATGATGATTATTACCAAGTGCATTTCTGGGTCTAGGGGTTTCCTTTAGTGACTGTAGTGTTGCTTTGGCTATACTTAGTTTATACTTAAGTGAACTTTGAGCTTTAGCTACATTTTCCATCAAATGTTCCACGCCACGGTTGACGGCAGAGTTACTACTCTTATTACCTCTCTCGTCACCTGAATAGCTGCTTCTATTCGATGAATGGTCGATAGGTCTGTCTATGYAGCCATTCTCGATCACAAGTACTTTTATCTTGTCGCGGTCACGAATTTCTTGTGGCTCAATGTCGACATCTTCCCCCCAGTCTTTGCTGTATCTTTGCAACGATATGATATCGGATGTTTTCAGTTTGACTTGAAAAGCTTTTTCTACKATACTTCTTTTGTCGATTTTATCATTACATGTAAAGACGAAGAGCTTTTTGATGTTTTTGAAATCAAGAAGGATCTGTTTTGTCTCCTGAAAATTGATCAAGAATGYACATCTCAACTTTGATTTTTATACTTTGGCAGCGATAAATTCAGAAAAAATGTCAAYAAAATCACAAGAAATAAGATTTTAAGTAAAAAAAATTATACAATTGCATTTGAAGCTCTAAAACTCCTGTACAAAAGGATTTTTAGTATACTCACGTTTCGCGCCAAAGTGGACGCCATCTTGGTTTGCGTGAAGCTGTTGAAAACTTTTCCTATGGGCTTCCTGTGTATGTATTTTCCATATATGGGATGTCATGTGTTGATTTGGTCCAATCAATAATCGAGAAATATYTTAAATATTGATAAAACGGATTTTATTATTGAAAACGAATAATGGCTCAATATTCACATAATAAAAGGAATAATGCATTTTTGGAGGGGAMGCTTCAGGTGTTTTGACTGTAAATGCAAAGAATGTGCAACATAAAACGTGAAAAAGTTACTGAGGGGCACAAGGAATAAAGCTCTTCACAAACCCGGTGTTTGCGAGACAAAACATGCATACACACTACCTAAATGCACAAAATATGCAACATAAAACGTGCAAAATTATGGTGGGGCAAACGGAATAAAGCTCTTCGTAAACCCGGTGTTTACGAGGCACAGCACATATACAAATGCTTGAAAGCACAAACATATTCATCACAAAACGTGCAAAATTATAGCAGGGCGAAGGGGAATAATACTCTTCGCGAACTCAGGAGCTTGCGAGGCACAGAACGTACCTAAATACAACTAGGTATGCAACACGACACGAGGAGGAAAGTGTTTGAGAATCAGAAAATGATGAGAAAATAGGGGAAATGGTTTATACCTGCTGTGCTGGACGTTCGTTTTGACGCTGTTCAGGTTCTTGTTGCGGAGCAGTCGGGACTAAAGCCTGTGCCAGAGGCACAGCATCATCTCTAAGGTGTTTCGATCGTAATAAATAGCGTTTCGCTCGTATTTTTAAACTCCAATTACGACGTAAATTTCGATTCCATTGCACTCAAATTTTCACAGAAGTCACAGTGATTATCGATAATTCTTGTTGATAAATTAATTTGCCAAAAAGCGAAGCCATTTGTATAAACGATGCAAAATAAAAACACCTTCATTTTTCTTCAAAGTTAATTTTCTCGAAACTCATCGCAGAGATTGTAATAAAATATTGATATACAGACGAAGTTGCAATAAATCTTAACCTAAAATTTCGAGTTGTTTGAGCAAAATGATGTACATTAGAGCAAGAGAACAAAGAGAACAATTCTTAAAAAAAAGCATCATATAAGCTTCATGGGTTAAGACCTACTCTACAATTTGGTCTATTCAACAGCTTTAGATACGCCGGGTTGCTCAACTTACACAGACTTACATGTAAAAATATGAAGCAGCTTTAACGAGGTAGCTTGCACAAAACCCTTGTTTCCTAGACACCGCATGATTGTTGGATCAGAGGTTCATAATTTGCTAGTCGAGAATCAACGGTTTAGCTGTGATGGTTTGTTTGCTTAAATTTATAGACCTGATCTCCTTGTTTTATCAAATGTTTGAATTTGAGTTTATAAAGGAGTAGACAATAAAGTCTGTCACCTCCCAATTCCAAATAAAAACTGCTCGAGAAATGATAGGATCGCCTTGCCATCTTTATACACAATATTGAAGACGTAGAACAACCCCATCAATGCCAGAATAGCATCCACTATTTTGACTTAAGGGAGAGTACATGATATCAATTGTAGCGTTCATCCGATACGGAAAGCACAACTTTCGGAAATTTTGTTTGTTCTGAATCGTTTGCTGTAGTAAAAAGCAATTCTTAATGAATTTAATCTTGAGAACTTATAATATAGATGTATTTGGGCTTACGGAGTAAGCAATTTATATTGCAGTTTCATACTTGACCACTTTTTGAAACTGTCAGGTTGAGTAGAATTGGCAAAACAAAAAAGTGTGTGAAAGTCAGCCTAAGCATTATGCAACTAGCTTAGTGGACATTATGTTGGGCATTGTCAGGATTTTGCAAAAATTACTGATTAGATATAATTATCCATACCTTATTCTAGTTTATTATGATCGACCATGTTTGTAAGTGAAAGGATTAGAGTATTGAGTTTTTACCAAGATTTTGCCATCAGTAGTCAGTAAGTCTTCCATGCTTTCTTTTCTTTCACTGTGTTTCTTGCCTCTTTGTAGAGTTTCCTTTTGGTGAGA